AACGTCAGAGTTTTCGAATGTCTCCGTTTTCACTGTTCACACTAATACCATAAGACTCCGTTTTCTCGTTTACACTATGGACTGTATTTTTGGATGTACACTACGCGTTTCAAATGAAAACGATGAATATTTTCCATTGTTGTAGTATGGACTGTAGGCGAGAGCGTATCAAAGAGTATTCGCTTTCAAACCAAAAGCATTTCGTCGTATTATCTTAACTCTATGCTAGCAAGGAAACTGTTTTCTATTATTGAAGTTTTAATTCAATTCAACTGCTTTTAATTTCAAGTTCCTTCGTCTCTATGGGGTGAAGGAAATACCGTTTTTGTAAAAGATAGACAACAACTAATAATTACACGGTCTCTCTCTATATGTGTGGCTTTTAACAACAGGAAGCCGAAATAATAGATTTGTACTTTGAAATTTCGTTTTCCACCTGTCGTAAATACGTCGAATGAACAAACATGCTTTGTCATTTGGACAGCTTTTCAATGTATTTGCAGAGAAATAAACGCTGATGTGGTATATTGGCAAATACTCTAATGAAAGCCGTATAATCTATTGTAAAGCAAGGAAGCCTGTCGTTCATTACTTTCTTAAATACGAACGCAAAATTGAAAATTATTTGCATTGGCTTCTAATATACTGAAGTGTTTGGAGCAACGGAATTGAAATTCATTTCCGATTAATCGCGACTCACGAAGTATATCGGGTCAAAATATAAAAGGGCGTGCTTCTACAGCGCTAGCAACGACAATGCTTGAGAGTAAGGAGTAGATCATGTCATTGCGAAACAACACCACAATCTCAGTAACTGTGAACGAAACTGCCCTGACCCAATCGAACACGTCATGCGATCCCCATGTTCTTCACACGACGGCAGAAAGAATTTCTTTCATATTCCTCTATTGTGTTAATTTGATGGGTAGTTTCATCGGTAACATCTTCATAATCATCATCGTCTACAAGCATCGAGATTTACGAAAAACAGTTAACTATTTCATCGTGAACATGGCTGTGTCAGATCTACTTTTCCCACTGATAGTAATCCCTGTCAATATTGTTGGATTGGTGACTGATTCATGGCAATTGCGCGTCAGTGGAAACTTAGGATCGAGTTTTTGCAAGTTGTTTTATTTCTCGAGCGCTGTGGCCCTCCATGTTTCTGTTCAAAGCTTGGTGTGGATAGCAATTGACAGATTTGTCGCCGTCGTTTTTCCAATAAAACTTGGTCTTATTTCACCGAAGATTCGCACAACAGCCATCGTTTCCACTTGGATTTTTGCAGGTTTGTTTAATTCACCATTGCTGATAATCTCGGATGTTGTTGTACACGAAAATAAAAACACGTTTTGCGACTACACAGGTGGCGATTCAGTCTACAATTCGGATTTTTCGGCGGCATTTTTGTTTGCACAATTTTTTATGTGTTTTATCGCTCCGTTAGTTGTATTAACCGTTTTGTACACTGCGATAGCAATCGCTTTAAAAAGACAGAATAAAGCCCTCAATAACATCGCACAAAATCGAAGAAAGAAACGAAGACAAGCTATTCGAATGGCTGTTATCATTATAGTGCTATTTTACATTTGCGTTATTCCATCGACGTTGTCATATTTCGCTGCATACAGGAGTTTGTCTTGTGTCTCTCAAAAACTGCTTTTAACTCTAGCGAGTGTTGTGTTTTGTTCGTCTTCTATGGTCAATCCAATAATTTGTTTGTCGTTTGTTGAGAGTTATCGCCGTGGATTACGAAATGTTTTATGTCCTTGCACGAAAACGCCAGACACCATAACGGCGAAACGCGAGCAAGGTACTCTACAAGGAGTGAAAAATCTTTCCGGAGAAAAATGTCGACGAGTTTTGAAGGACACAGAAAACTACAAAGAAACATTGAACACTACTATGTAGAGAGCATGTAGAGATGGTCTGAGACCCTAAAAGATGCCGTGTAGGATAGAAACATTGACATGCCGTGTCTTCTTGAAGTAATATATGAAACACGAAAGACCGTGTTTGACAACATTTCCAAACAACTGATTGATACAGAAAATCTTGCATGAATTTGTTGCTTTTATTTGAAAAAGGAAAATATCGGCAAATGACGTGTTTGCTGTGATTTTGGGTGTTGATACTTTCCTAGGATTTAGTGATTGCGGTTATCACATTTGCCAGAAATGAGTTACGAAAGAATGTTGTTGACAAATTTAAAATAGAATCTCGATAAAAGCCTGCATGAATAATGACTTGAAACTGGAATGCTGTGAGACGCATGAGAATTATACAATATCTTTTTGTGATCTCCGGAGTAAGATCCTCTCCTTGTTCTTATTATTAGTTTAAACTTTTTTACAAGGTTATGTAACTTCTCAGTTCTGCATAAACACTCCTTTTGCACATAAGTAATACTGTTGCATGCATGGGATTGCGTGCATGGGGCTCTGTTCCTATAGTTATGGGGCTCCGCTTACCGGCCCTTCGGGCCGCCGGAACTCTGCTATAACTTTTCTCCAGAAGCACAGAGAAGCTTGCTAGCTGACAACACAAAGGAGACCTCTGACATTTGTGCCACTTCGTCCATTAGATGTAAATGTTTTCCCAGAGCGAAATAAATAATGTTAATAGCGACTTAAACAAAAGGAAGCGAGGAGAAAATGATTTTCTTATATCTGGATTCATTAGCGATTAAAAAGAAATGAAAACTAACACAAAAAAATTAAAGGGAAATAAAGCCAACCTCGATAGCCGAGCGCTGTAACTTTGGGCGCACACCACTTCGCACGGCGTACAGTTCTCCTCTCATGGGTGGAGTGAATGGTAACTCTGCACCTTCGTCCTGTAAGTACAGTACATGAATGACACAATCGTCCTCTTTATTACATCTCTTCAATTTACATTGGAGCAAGAGACGAGGAAGTTAAGCGGGGAACAAAAGACTAAGATGTACGGTAAAATGATTTTGGATCAGTGTTACCCACTCAACCGCTGGATGTTAATTAAACCAAAAATACATTGAAGAAGAGTACGGTGAATGCGTTAAGAAAATATATAAAACCCAAAACATGACAGACGTACAAGGAACAGTTCACAAGCAGCCAATAGTTCGCCTCCTTCCTCTTCTCCTCTTCTGATCTTGTGCCACTGCAGTCGGGGTTCAGGAGTCTGGTGTCCTTCTAGCCTTACCATGGGCGATATCACGCAGCGACCAAGAAATCCGTCTTTACCCTGTTATAAAATGACACATCTGATTGCTTTCCCTCAACATATACTACAAGACACATAAACTACCTCATTAGATTCGATTATTTTCCCTGTCTGAGTCAAAACGAATTGTTTTTTTTTTGCTTTTTTTTTTTTTTTTTTTTTTTTTTTTTTTTTTGGAAGCAATTTTTTGAGCTTAGAATGTATTTGGCGGCAGCATGCTAGTATACTTTATTTAAGACTTACTAAGAAACATTTTTGAATAAAGGCCCCATTTTATTCAAGAAAAGACCAAGCAATACTGAGTATAAAATGTCAAAGTAGCTCTCCCACCCAGAGTCAAGTAGCTGCATTGTTGCATAAGTCTTTTCAAATAAGTAGTACTCTTGAGCTCAAGATTTTCGAACTATTGACCAGCAATAAAATGCTTACTTATTCAAGGGTGACATAGCCTCTTCCAGGCATTCAGTTAGTTGGGGTGCAGCATGAAGAAAGAGAGGGGCTTGGTGCAGGGAGCGAAATCACCTGCCCGCATCACGCTTCTCCCCTATATTTGTTTTTGCTACCTTTTTCCCTGCGCTCCATCTAATTAAATGCCTACATGAGGCTAAGGGTGACACTAAGTGGAAGCTACACCCGTAAGAAGTTTTTTTTTAATGTGTATCTGGGGCTCAAATTGTTCAAAGGGTGTGTAACACTATCCAGTGGATAGTGTAGTTTGTTTTGCCAATGCTTTAATCCACAGGATAGTGATTTATCTGGCAGATAGCTTTATGTACCCTTCGGGGAACCTAACATGGTGTTTATTCAAGTTTCTAAGGTATTCCTTCTTTGCTGTTGACTGATGACCAAATTAATAAAGGCACCAATTTTGCTGTGCATAATTAAATATTATGATATTTTCCACCCAAACTAAGTAAATACGTGTGTGTTCTCGAACATACAAGACCTAAGGTGTATATAAACAGTACCCTCCATTTGACACAAAAATATGTTCGGATGTTTGTCCGCAGACATTATCTGTTCCAGGAAGCAAATAGTTTTCCAAGAGCAAAGCTCAAGGAAAACTGCAAGCTTCAAGGAACAGATAATGTCCAAGGAGAAATTTCTAAGCACATTTTTAACACCAAATGGAGGCTATTGTGTTTATTATCCTTCGAATATTATTTGCAAACACACAATATTGTTTGCTAAGACACGCTAAAATTATGGACCAGATTGTCCGATAATGCCAATACATTATTTGCAATACGCGGGCTCTTTTGGCATTGGCGAATATCACTCGGATATTCCCCATTTTTAGCTGGGACATGTTCAGTCACGTGATGCGTTTAGCCCAATCACGCGCAAGCGAATTATAAGTCTGAGGAAGAATGAAGGAACAAACTTGGAACAAAATTGAACGGAAGAAAATATGAGAGAGGAAAAAGGAACTATAAAAACTGAATGGTTAAAATTATCGCAGAATTGCTTGCTATATACATTATTACTTGTACTACTGTTAAACACACGAAAACAAATATTAGTAAAAGCCCCGAGTGCTTATTAGTAAAACTTGACTAGGACCCGTCACGCGATACGTGGAAGCGTGACATAACGTACGAGCAGGCAAACGTGTATTTGAGCCTCGTCCAAGCAATATTTCTCCATTACTTTGCACCCTAACGTTCGAGTATAAAACTATCTACCGATAACTTAAGCCAAAAGAAATAATTAGCTACAACATGTAACTCCAGAAAAATATAAAGAGACCTGATCGGGGTGGGAATATGTTATAGAAGACAAGAATTGAAGAAACGGTTTATATCACTTGTGAACATGTGCCTTTTCACGTAATGTGCTCATCCAAACGGTCAGTTGAAACGGTAAAATTTTTTTGCAAAGGGAGACGAAACTTTTACGATTGCTGTATGATTACTTGTTGAAAAACGTTGTAAGATCCGTCCTGAACTGAAGTTGCCACGCATCGACAAGTGCAGGCAAGTCACCCGGGAAGTTGCGTATCACAATGTAGACGAACATAGCAATGAGGTTCTATAAAACACACAGCAACTCAAAAAATAACCTTACCAGTTAGAGTTACGAGGCAGAAAATGGCGTAAATTAGGACTGCAAGGTACTGCTCCCCGTTGGCGTTCATTTTGCTCCCAGTGCTTATTGCTAAACAATAAGTACTTTTAATTGATTTTATCTCTTATCTCTTGTATTTTTATTCGTTGTATTATCTCATAGTTATGCCATAGTTTTAACATCCGTATTGTACATAATTTTTAGAGGGCCACTGGTTTGTTAGCATTTTTATACTATTTTAGTGCTACCCTCTTTAAATAAAGTCTTTACTTACT